AACTCCCCACCCTCCCCCCCCCCCCCCCCAGGAATCCAGCATTTCAAAGGGGAAAGGCCAAAAAATCCCCTAATCTTCCCAAAATAATAACCGGTACCTCCCTCCCCCTCAAAATCTTATATCTTCCAGGCAAGAAGGTTTAAATATTCTGCTTGTTCAGAAGTAAGCAGTAATTTTCACCAGACTAGACTGGAGATTCCCAGCATCTGTTCCCAGAAAGCCAGCTGGCTGTGCCTGGGCCTAAGTATGGACGCCAGGAGGTCGGCCTCCTGTAGCCCCATAGCTGCTCCTCTGAGGGGCCACTCTCCACTGAACTCTATCGCAATAGTAGTATCCTAACACACGTGTTGAGAGAGACAGTGCGATGTTCAGAGTGTGACAGCCTGTGCAAGACTTGCACTGCAGATACCATGGGTTGAACATGGTATGGGTTGCACTTGGGTTGTTCTCTGCTTTGAACACTCACTCTAAGACCTGGGATGTCCAGACATCTAATTCCCCAGCACACATATATACAAGATTACACTTATCTCTACCTTGATACCACTGAAAACAGTATTTCATAAACTTAGCACAATTTTTCTCGTGTATCTTCTCATTCGTAGTCAGAATAGCTTTGGCCAGCCTACCTTTGGTAGTTTCGCTTTCCCGGATCAGGAAGGTACCTCTGGGGTTTCCAAATGACAACAGCTGCCTCTCAGCATCTTTTCGGCCAAGTTTGCCAAAGTACCACCTTAGGGAAACATCAGAAATAGTAAGACAAATGCAACATAGGGTTACTAGGTAGTGTCATGGAGCTCAGACATGGAGGCTTACTTGTGGAAATTATGGTTACTCAAGCATATTCAACCATTTTTGTCATACTGTCTCTCTTTTATTGTGGTGGGAAGCTAACATGACAAACTGTGTAGTAGATGTATACGTTGTGCGGTAGCACTTTGCGTTAAGCCTATAATCAGTAGATGCTGAGAATGCTTGTTTGCTGTCTTACAACAAAGGCCAGACTTTGACAATCAGAGAGCAAGACTTGGCAGGGGGAAGGAATAGACAAGGAAAAGGGCACAAAAATGCATCGCTGCCGAAGAGCAGCATTTTTACAGATGTTGCTATAAACTACATATTTGACTTACATACTGATGTATTAGTATTCAATATTTTTGTGGCAGCACAGCTATAAAACCTCAGTAGAAGGACCAGATGCAACCACTTTACTGTGGTTGTATAAGGCTTTCAGAGTTTCGGTACCTTTTTCCTTCCTGCAGCAATTTTTCTTTTCTTTTTTTTTTGTTTCACAATCAACCAAGTACAACCTGAAGTACAGACTACAGTAGTATCTGCTCAACTATATAAGCTCCTCTAGTGTACCTTTTATACTGGAAATAATATGGATACACACAGCACTCCATTTTTTGCATAGATATGTCCTCATTATGCTGCCTGCTGTATGCATTGTAGGCATCCTACCTATTGGTAGGTATTTGCTAATACAATGTGCCCTCTTTAATAGGCAGTTTGCACACTAATTGAGTCCAAATATTTTTACAAGTTGGTTCAGGAAAAGCAAAGGCACCTTTCACTTAAAGCTTGAAATTAGTCAGCACTCGAATAAAGGAAGCAGACCTATGTTCCTTTAGGTTTTCTTCCTTTGTTTTGACATTGAAAAAGCACTGAGCTTGTGCTTCTTTTGTTACTAATTACCTAATTATTTATCAGTGCAGTTAAGAACTGAAATAAAAATTATGTAAGTAATTTGAAAAATCGCTGCAATCAATCAAAACCAACTCCTTGAACCTCCTTCAAATACAGCACTAATGGGTCTTTACAATGAAAAGAAAACATACTCCTCTGCTTGGATGGAATCGACTGGAGCCACATAATTACTGGGAATGTAACCAGTTTCGCCTGTTGTCAAGGACCGGGCCTCCCACCAGTCTCCTTCCCTGCAGAAACAGAGTTGAGGAGAAGTGAGAGCAAGACACAGCTGTAAAGACAATGATCTGACTTTGCTAACAGCACCCACAGCTGAGTAAAAATCTACAGCAACCACCTCTTTACCACCAGCGTGCTTCTGAGAGCTGTTTGCATCTAAACCCAAATAATACACGTATTTCTTTACACCTATTATTATTTCAGCAGTGATTAGTAATGTAGCCTTCCAAACGTAGCATAATGGCATAAATAGGCATAACAACCCAGTGAAATCAGGTTTGGTGAAGGCTGGATTTGGACCACAATATTGAAAACTATCTCCATAGCAATTATTCTAATACGGACCCTTGAGAGAGCTTATAGGAAAACTGCCAAACTGAACACTGTCACTTCCACTGCTAATTTTAAACTTCTATGGGGATAATTAATCTGAAACCCAAAGGCATCAAAAAGTCATCTATCAACATGGAGTTTTAGATAGCCCTTAAGGATCACACTTCATTGTCCAGATTCCCTCTCTTCGTCACCTAGAGGAGGTATCTGAAATAGCAAAGGACTTAGCTGTGTTTTCAAATACTTACAAAAACCCATTCTTCTACAACATTTAAATATGAAGAGGTCCATGCAGGACCATCTTATAGCAGTGTTCCACAGGCTTAGCATCAATTTTTGTCATACGTGTGTGTGTGTACATGGTACTGCCCTTCAGACAATGTGTGTTGCTGTAGAATGCGCAGCTTTAAGAGAAGTTTATTTCTCAGCTTTTTACAGGATGCAGCGATTTGGGGTTTAGCAATTTGTATTTCACTCTCAGCGCCAAATTCACCGATGTTTAACTCCTACCGCTACTCATAAGCACTCTCTTTTCTATTTCTGGACTGCTTAGAAACTCTTTCTCAGTTCTCCTTTCTGTAAAACAGAGGTTTGTTCACTAAGTAAAAAACTATCATCAAACGTGGCCAGAGAATTCAGCCTCTTCTGTAAGCAAGCAGTTACAGAAAGCAAATTGTCAAAGCTATTACTGGCAGGAAAGGTTGTGTCAAGGTGAGCTCTTTAAATTTTCAACTTCACTTTCTTTAACAGTTTGAAGGAGTATGAGCTCTATGGAAAACAACTAGAAGACAGCTCTGATTAGTCAAAAAGGAGACATTTCCAATTCTACAGTTCAAAAAAGTGAAGAACAAGTAGCTTCTCTAGAGGCTGGCAGCTGACACTATTTTAATACACCTTGTGTGCATTTGTATGTCACGCAAATGGCCCTCTCTGTTTACGTCCCTAATTTTATCAGCTGAAGTGCTAACCCTTCCCCCATATGTGGCTGTAGAATATTTCTGAAAGATTGTCAACTGTGGTTGACAAATTGTACCATAACATTTCTTCTCCTTACTGTACAGAGTCCACTAGATGGAGGTATTTTATCATATCTAGGGAGGAAAAAAGCAGTCCCGTAGATGATCACAACATCAGGAACAACCCCCTCTGCTTTGACAGAGAAGCGTAAATCTCAAAGCGCTGCCAGAAAGGAGGAGGAATGAGACTTTTTTCACAGCTCTTAATTTTAGACACCCAACTGAGGTAGGAGGCTAGTCAATGGGGCTAGCCAGGGTGTGCGGGAGCGGCAGTGGGGATGTAGGGGATGGCTGAGTGTTTCTGAGCCCTTGAAGTCAGACTCTGCTCTGAACCACCCCTGCAAGTACCTCTTTCTCCCCGACTGCCCTTGGTATAATTTCTGACTTCAAATCACAGGGATAACCTCTGTATGCCATTTCAGGTATTGCTGTCCTGAACTTTTAATCCAAAGCACAAATCAAATTTCATTTGTTGAGAGCTAAAAAAAACCCCAAACCATCCAAAAATTCCAGACAAACTAGTTTTGTGCACATATATGCTTTCTGGTTGCACGCAGCATTGGCAGACTCTTAAAAAAATGGGCTTCTTTCATATAATTTCTGATATGAGTGAAGAGAGGAAGCATTCTCACAGAAAAGCTGCTTTCTGGAGATTCCCAGCCTGGCTGTCAGTACTCCAGGAGTGAGGTTGGGTCCCTGTTTATAAGCAGACAGAGCTGACTACGATGGGAACTGAGCTTCTATAATCCTACAAGAAAATCAGTAGATGCTTGTTTTTTTTTTTCTCTTAGAAAACTTTCCTCCAGGCAGTAATTAGCTGCATTAAAATCCATGTACTGCAACTGCCCACACACGGGGGAATCTCTCTGTCCCACCGACTCCAAGCATGATTGCTCCGCAAGTCCCGGTGAGCACCCCCTGGTTTCATCAACTGGGATGTGTAAGAAATTTATAATGCGTGGTGTTTCTTCTTGTTTCAAGTTATAGCATAGTTTGTGCAAGGTTAGGAAAGCAGCAGGCAACGTGAACAAAAATGGATGATAAGTTAAAAAAGGTTTTTTTTCCAAGTGCTAATTTAGAAGTAGAGAGGTTTTTAAACTGCTGCTCCCTCTACAAGTTGTAACTGAAGTTTCTGTGCTTTCATCTACATCAAAGCTCTTCAGCTTCATGGCTTCATGAAATATTCCACAGAATTACCTTTTTTTTTTTTTTTTTTTTTAATTTTTCTCCAAATCGAGTATTCTCTAGCTGTTTTACTCTGCCGTGGAGGAACAGAGAGAAGCTAGAGCAAACAAACTATTGTACGTAAACACACAAACATACATTTCCCTATTGATTCTTTTTTTTTTTTTTTTTTTAACTTTACTGCACATTGAGCCAACTCCAACCCTGGACTTGTTCTATTAAAATTAACAGGAGTTGCACCAGGGATGAATTTGCCTCACTGTCACATAGTGTAAGAAAAAAAGATGAGAGCAATATCACAAAGCCTCTACAAAGCCATATACTTGGTTGTTAACCCGTTTCTACCTCTACATGACAGCAATACTGAACATAAGACAGAGCCTTCAACTTTATGTTCTTAGCCAAGATTTACAAGATGTTCAGATATAGGTCAGTAGCACAGTAAGTTTTAGATGTTATTTTTAAATTGCTAAGGGATTTTTTTCTATGGGCACTTAATAAAATTAATTTAAAATTGATGATTTCCAGGATGGAAGTGTGGTTTTCATGCCAAATGCAACTGTGCAATGGTGCATTCTCACTTAACAGAACTTCCTGGCATGTTCTGACTGTATCACCTACCTTAAAAAAGAAAATAAATGCTTTTAAACTTGTCACACAAATCTGGGTAACGTCTCTTTTGTGAATCAGTTTTTAGCTCGTTTCTGTGTAGAGATACTTGCAGCAGATTGCAAAAAGTGTTAGTACATGCCTTGCAGAACTTCTGTGACTACTGGTAAAGGACAGAGCTGGTACTCTCATTTCTGAATGTGAGTTTACTGTGAAATGTAAGCAGTGAATCACACAATCTAACGTTTATTTTTGAAGTAAAGCTGCATGTGGTTGAAGGGGTTTTTTTCCAACAGTAAAGCACTTTGCAAAAGTGCACTAAATGCAAAGACAAGGAAGTAAGCATAGAGTAAAACCCCTACAGATCTTGAATATCCAACATTAGATTTTACTAATAACATAAGTAGACAAATATAATTGTCAACATTGTAAGTTTAAAAAAGCATATTCCCAAGCCTAAAACTTACGAGCTGTTAAGTATTTGAAATTTTTCTCCTTTGTGAAAACTCAAGTCATCTTCTGTTCTTGCTTCATAGTCATAAAGCGCCACAAAAAGAGTTACACCTAAAGAAGAAGATAGGTGAGTTACACTTCATCACAAAAAACAGGAGGGGAAGGAGCCCTCAAGAGGTGAGGTGGCTAAGCCAAATGTAAGCTACTCCGGTTGCTGAGGAGCAAAATAAACTGAAGCCTCCTACTTTTTGGACAACCATTCTAATCCCTCTGCTTTTATGCAGCCAGCGGGCATGCCACATTCTTCACTCTGTACAGTCATCAGTACTCTTGGTTTGGTACCCACACACAGTGTAGAATCCCAAGCGGGCAAAAGGGGTTTGAAAAGAGAGTTTAGACATAGCCATGCCAAGTATTTCCTGTTAACCACTTGAGGTGGCTCAGACCACACTTTCTGTTCCCTGGGAGAGGTATAAGGCAGTCAATCAGCCAAATTGGGCATGTCTACATAATTTCTCACCCCCCAAGTGAACTAGCACCTGCAAGTTAGCAAAGGTAGGGCTGAAGACCCAGCTCCACCCCTACTTCAATTCTTTGCACTACTTTGTGAAATAACTCTTCCCAAAAGCAGCACACTGAGACAGTCATGCCTCTGCTGTAATTATGTGATTGATACTCACTAAGAGCACTGAAAGAAGACTTTGAAACTCACCTGTTCCTCCTCTTGTACGCAGTGTCCCTGTATGAGAGGAGGAATTGACTCCACCAAACACAGTCAGTCCTTGGCCTCCTGTGGCATGGAAGTTGTTGTAATTTGGGATTGAAGTCACACCAAAGCTAGGATAGTGCTGCGGAGTGGGATCTGTCCCATAGCGGTAGCCTGAGCTTTGAGTTAAACTGCCATCCCTCTCGTCAGTCAGTTTTGTTGCTTCTTTATCCTTACATTGCACACAGCCCATTATCTAAAATCCTAGGAGAGGAAGGAAAGGACAGGTGTTCACACATTGATGCTCACCAGATCTCTCCCAAACCCACATATGACGAGGATCAAATTAAGTTCACTGCTCAAAAGTTAAGTACTTTGAAAAAAACCCACAGTGGTTTGAATATAAACAGCAACACATTGGGAAAAGCTCACACAAAATCTTCCTTGCGGTGGTTTTCCTTTGAGGCCTGGGGAGGGAGGTCCTGCCTGCTCTTAGGGTAGTGGCAGCTGTCTGCCCAGCCCTGCCAGGCAATGGGTTGCATGGAGGTAGCGAGAGGATGAAACCCCTCTTGCTCACCCTTCACCAGGAGAGCACGACTGGCAGGCAAAGGACTCAGCCAAAAAGTACAGCTGGAGGTGTTCAAGTCTGCTCCCCAAAACACAGAGTGAAGCACTTAGCTCACAGTTCATGTTTGACGTTGCCAACTACACAAGAGCTGACTTCACCTAAAGGCATACAACCTTCTCCTTTTTCCATTGCTGGAGCTCTGCGTGGCAGGCAGAAAAGCAGACACAATGCGCTGATAATACAGCACAGGAAAGTAGGAGGGAGCTCATCAGATGGCACAACGGAAACAAAAGGAAGCACCCTTTTATGCAGTACTGAGCAGAAGTGTAAAACCTGCCGGTAGTGGATGGTGGGGCAGCCAGAGGTATACATGAGTTAAGAAACTAGAGAAAGTCACGGAGGAATTAACACGTCAAATGCAGAGCATCTCCAAGTCTGGATCCCAGACAGGAGGAAACCGAGAGGGTATGGCTTGGAAAGGGTTGCGCTAAGTTTTTTAATTCTTGTAACCTCTTGTTTAGCACCCTCATGGGGCACTACCAGGGCCTGGGTTAATCTCGCTTAATTTCAGGAGCCTATCTTTCTAGGTGGAGAGAGACAGAGGGTGATTGGCCACATCTTAGAAGCAGTACTCCAAGGTTAGTCCTGTTACCTAGTATTGCTTTTTATCTGTCAGCTCTAACATCTTATAATCCACGTGCTGGTGTTACCAAACCCTTTCCTATTGACTCGAGCTGAATCTAGACACAAAACCCGAGTTTCTGAAGCTGGGCATGATGAATCTAGGGAATCAGATACTCATCTGGATGCACCCTTGATCTGAACTGGTATGGTGACTTACACGTAACCTGGCTCACAAACAACATACTCTAAACACTGGGGCTGCAAGAATAGCAGTGACAACAGAAAAATGTTTGAAAAAATTAGAATTACTGGACATACTTTGTCCAAAATATACAAATAGTCAGGGAGAAAATGCATGGAACATTAAAAAAAAAAAAAATATAGCAAAGAACTTTTTTTTTCATATTTCTTTTCACATTTCAGCCAATATCCATCACTTAGGGTAAATAAAAAGCCTATCCTTTTTCAAATATCCTCATTTTTCTGTAGCTGCCAGGCTGGCTATTTTATATGCCTTACCCCAACATCAACACAGGAAATTCGTTTTGACAAACTCATGGGATTCAGAAAAAGCATATTCCTCTGCTGCTAATGCTTCAAAAATTATGCAGTAGCTCCCTGCTTGTCTCTGACAGTACCCAATCTGGATACCTGCTTCCTAAATCTAACTTGCCTAATTAAAAAACCCCTTCTGTTGAAGGGTATTTTCTACAATTTGAAGATACTTCCAGTTATTCTACAAGCCTGTTCAGAAGAACAAGCACCATTTTAATGTATTTCCCTGAGCTGTATTGCCTGCATTTAGCACAGGTCTACCATCTCTTGCTCTTAGCATAACTTAAAGGCACCCTTTTTGCATTTCTCTTTTTCCTTCAAGATGCCACATTCACTCAGCAGAGTTCCCTCACCAAAACGTCTAAGTGTCTTCACACGAACAGAAACAAGGACTCTTGACTCTGCATCTGCTGCAACGGTTGGCATGAGCTGGGATCCCTCAAGAAACTAAAGCAACAACAGGTCGAGGGAAAGGGGTTTGCAGCCTGGAGGCTGCAAAACACACTGCTGCTGTTACTGCTGTGGCAGCCGTGCCGGCCTCCAGCCTCTGCTCACCCTGGTAGCTGGGTTGGTGCTGGAGGTACCGTGCTGGTATCTGCTCACCCTGGTAGCTGGGTACCGTGCTGGAGCTTAAGGTTGTCCATCCCTCGGACCAGCAGTGACTCTAGGTGAGCCCACAGGGACCGTGACGGGTGCAGAGGTGCCTCGGCCAGCTTTGTATCAGCTGCGAAAAACTGCTTGCGCTGATATCTGCTGCTTTTACCCGTTTCAACAGGAGGACTGTCTGGCTCTGGAGACCCTCTGTTTGGAGATGTCACTCAGAGGTGAGGACTTGTTGGAAAGGGTCCAGAGGAGGGCCACAAAAATGCTCAGGGGGATGGAACACCTCTCCTGTGAAGAAAGGCTGAGAGAGTTGGGGTTCTTCAGCCTAGAGAAGAGAAGGCTTCGGGGAGACCTTCTTGCAGCCTATCAGTACTTAAAGGGGGCTTATAAAAAAGATGGCGGCAGACTTTTTAGCAGGGCCTGTTGCGACAGGACAAGGGGGAATGGCTTTAAACTAAAGGCAGGGTAGATTTAGATTAGATAGAAGGAAGAAATTTTTTATGTTGAGGGTGGTGAAACACTGGCACAGGTTGCCCAGAGAGGTGGTGGCTGCCCCATCCCTGGAAACCTTCCAGGTCGGGTTGGACGGGGCTCTGAGCAACCTGATCTAGTTGAAGATGTCCCTGCTCATTGCAGGGGGGTTGGACTAGATGACCTTTAAAGGTTCCTTCCAACCCAAACTGTCCTACGATTCTATGATTCTATGATTTTCCCAGCTCCTCTCAGAGCCAAGGAGCCCCACGAGCAATGCCAGGGAGTAAAGCAGGACCACAGGGAGGGCGAGGGCCCCGTGGGGTGGTGGCTCTTCTCACTGCTATCAGCATGGGCAGAGCCCAGGGAGGCTTTGGGTTGGAGGATGAGTCTGGTACTCATGCTGGAACATACGCTTATTCACTTCAAAACAGTTAAGTGATATGCAGGGTTTACTATTTAAAGAAGAATCTCAGCAGCCTTTTTGTTGGCTTGTAACCTTACCTCCCTGTGAAACTCTATCACCGCATCCCTTTCCCCTCCCAGCTCTGTTTCTCCTCTTATTTTTTCCCATGTGTTTTCACGGGAAAAAGTAGAAAAGAAAATGAAAGAATGAAAGAAAAAAAGAGATGGGATACATGAAATCTGGGAGATTGGGGGGGAGGAAGGGGTTTTCTTGTTGCTCATTTGCAAACTCTCAGCTGAGCAGGGAAAAAAATCTCCACTGAAATCTGGGAAGATTTCACATATCAAGTTACAAGTGCTGACAAGACAGCCCTACACACTTCATTTACACATTGATGAAGAAAAAGTTAAACCTACAAATCAGCTGCAAAAATAAAATTGTTCAAAATATTAATTCAGAAAAACTGAATAAACCAGAAGATGGTATACATATGTCCCGGTAGTTTCAGAAAAATAATGGTTTGGGATTTTCTTTTTACTAGGAATGATATGGATAGAAAACCAGCAAATTATCAGTTTCTTGATTTTTTTTTTTTTTGTTTTTGCTCCCTTTATCTTTTTGCTGGCAGTGGCAGCGGCAGCGCAGAGGGAAGGAGAATTTAATACAAAGTGAATGACTGACAAAAAGGGCTTTTTCTTCCACTTGCCCTCTCCCACTTTGTCACAGTGTCTAGACAATCGGAGTATAAAGACTGCTTGATTGTAGCCTCTTGTAAAATGTGACAGAGGGTGTTACATGCACGCATCTTTTCAAGCCAAGTCCCTGAAAGTTGTCTGTTCCTGGCTCAAAGAAACCAGCATCACGGGGAGTTGGCTAAATGTGAGAGAATACATGTATGCATGTACAAGCTAACTCAGGGATTTCATAGACAATAAATATAACCTCCATTCAGCACCGGCCTTTGTGTCACTGAATGGATTCCAAAAACTAATCTCCTTCAGTATCACAGAGCAGGCTTTTAATATCCAAAAGTCTCATCTCCCTGCATGTCAGCATTTGGAGCTGTGGAAGGCTGGAATTATTCAGCCAGCTCTGAGATCACCAAACAAAATCTGGAGCTGTTTTACACCAAGTTCTCTAGAGACAAGCACACAACATTGTTCATCCAACATGCTGCACAACTTACGGTAAAGGAACAAGATTTTATTCCATTTCCATTAGGAAAGGCAGCATTTCTCAGATGTATGAGTTATGGGTCATGCAGCATTATCATAATTTGACACTGGTATTGTTAAAAGGTATGTAACTAGCCTAATTAAAATGAACTTTTCTAATGCAAGCAAGTTGAATTTGTTTATTTTAAAGTTGTGTTTTTATGGGCAATATAAAACATGTGTTTTCATGAAAACATAAAACATTTACATGGGTTTTGAGACATCCTTAGAGACAAATGAAAATAACCATTATGTTACTTGTCTCCTTTCTTGTCCTTGTTATATTTCTTGGACTCCAACATTTACACTGCAAGCAATCCAACATCAGCCTAACCAGAATAGTAGTTTCCTCCCACATGGTGGAAACATTATTTGACAAAGATATAAAATTAATTATATAATCGTTAATTTTTTATATAATCATAGCATCTTAATTACTTTCAGTTAGGAAACAGATGAAGGCTAAGGAGATGTTATTAACACTGTTATTATTATCATAAATCACCCTCCTTCAGTTTTTCTAGTGGGTTTTTGGTTCTCGATACAAAATGGAAGCCAAGACTGAAATACCCACCAAAGCCAAACAACCGCTCCATTAACAGAAACAAAAGCAGTTCTCTGTTAGCTAATCGAAGCCTAGGAAAAGTCCAGGAGTACCAGGAAAAGTCCATTTTTCATACTTCTATTTTGAAAGGAAAAGCTTCAATATGTGATATTGGAAAAGCAAAAAGTATTGATAAGCCTTTGCTTAGTCTAGCTTCTGCAGTTGTAAACCACCAGGAAAAGATGGATGGGAGGAAGTCTGGTGTAAATTCACTCCTTCAGAGCATCAGAAGTTTTTCTG